AAAAGGGGAGGATCAAAATCGGGCAAAAGGGGAGGATGGCGGGGGAGAGGAAGAAAGAAAAAAAAAAGACCGGCACCGGAAGAGGTGATCGGCGCCGGTGCCGGCGGCGGAGGTGGTGGCCGGCGACGGAGGTGGTGGTAGGTTGGGGTGGGGGAGGAAGAAGAAGAAAAGGGGAAGGGGATTTTTTTTTTTTTTTTTGTGTTTTAGGTATTTTGAAGTGTGTAGATAAAAAATTTTGAGAAGTTTTTTTAGATTACTATAGATGAAGTTGGTAAAAAATTAGTATAAAACAAACTTGAGTAAAAATTCAACTTCCAAACAGGCCTTAAATCTCAACAAAGTTATTCCATTAAAACTAGGGTTATTATCACTTTACCCCCTTAAACTATATCACTACTAGCAGTTTACCCCCTAACGTTATATTTTAATCACTTTACCCCCATAAGTAATTCAGCTCAACATGTTAAGAAATTTTGGACAAAAATACCCTTTTATTTTATAGCATTACTACATTGTTTTTATCACTTTATTCGTTTAGATTATAGTAATACAATCACTTTAGTTTCTAACATTATTTTCTAGGCATTTTACCTCATCGTTAATCTAACTAGTATGGTCAAAAAATTTTAAATATATTTACCTTTTTTATATATAATTAAAAATAAAAGTTGAAATGGTTATTCTTCCTTTTTTCACTTTAATAGATCCAAAAACATAAAAACAAAAGGATTTTCTCAAATTTCTTTTTTTCATATTTATTAATACTAGAAAAAGAAAAAGAGATAGGAAAGAATGATACAAAAAATTAGATTTTACAAAAAAAGAAAATAAAGAAAAGTCTAACATTATCATATTACTTTAAGATTGTTGAAATTAGGATTGGAATTTGGTGATTAACAAAAAAGTGAAATAATTTTAAAATAATAAAAGTATTTAATTCTTTCTTATTTGTAATTTAAAAAAAAAAAGAATTGAGCTCTCTCTCTCTCTCTCTCCCTCTCCTCCTCTCCATCTTTCTATTTTTTTCAATATTAATAAGATTGCCAAGAAGAAAGAAATTAATACTTTGATTTTTTTTTCTTGATACTAAAAAGGAGAAGTGTCACTCTAAATTTTTTATTATTTTTATTATGCAAAGAGGAGGGTATTTTCTTCTAAAGTTTTTTAACATGCTCAGTTGGTTTAATGGTAGGATAAACTGCTTAAAAAATAACTCTATGGGGTAAATTGATAATGAAACTATATTTTATGGGGATAAAGTGATAATAATTTTAAGGGTTAAACATGTCTTTTCACTTTAATTAACAAAGTCCGTTAAGTTTGACCGTTAGTCTTGGAGGTAAAGTTACTAAAAAATAATGTTATAGGGGAAATTGATAGTAGCACTAAATGTTAAGGGGATAAAGTGATAATAACCCTTAAAACTAACTAAACTTGTATTTTAGTGCATGTTCAATTTCACAAACAAGACAAGGTAAAACAATAAGGAAGCCCAAGAAAAAAATGTCAATCAGCCTATGCCACAATCTAAATTCAACCCAACCAATATATTACACCTATTTACATCATGGGTTTATCACATTTTATCCCCTTAAAGAATACCTCATTTCTCAGTTTATTTCCTAACCTTTAATTTTGCTCATTTAACCCCCTTTAGGACAAAATTGCCCTTGCATTATTTTGATTTTTCATTTACCTTGTTTTCTCTTATTTTATTTTTTTTCTCTTTCTTCTTTATTTAATTCTTCATCTTTCCCACAAAAATCTTCACCTTAATGATTGAAATTAAAAAAGAGGAATTGCAGAGATCTATCTTCTCCTTAAATGATTAAAAAAATATTCAACTCACTTTCCTAAAATACAATTTTTTTAGCCTTTCAATTCCTTTAATTTTGGGTTTTCTTCTTTCCTTTCTAGTTTCTCATTTTATTCCCAAGAAAATATCTTAAAATGAAATTGTAACCTAAGTAATAATCATCAATTGAAATTTGTGACACGTGACATCATACAAAAAAATCAAAATTAGTTTTTGATATCTTTTAAACATTCACCCAAAAATATACAACTACAAACTCAAAACAAAAAATTTCGTTGAAATGGAATTTCTATTAGGAAGGATGAAAGAGAGAAAAAAGAGAAAAAGAAATAAAAGAAAGGAAAACAATTTCATCTTATGATATTTTCTTGAGAATAAAATGAGAAACTAGAAAGGAAAGAGGAAAATCCAAAATTAAAAGAATTGAAAGGCTAAAAAAATTGTATTTTAGGAAAGTGAGTTGAATATTTTTTTTAATCATTTAAGGAGAAGATAGATCTCTGCAATTCCTTTTTTTTAATTTCAATCATTAAGGTGAAGATTTTTGTGGGAAAGAGGAAGAATTAAATAAAGAAGAAAGAGAAAAAGAAATAAAAGAAAGGAAAACAAGGTAAATGAAAAGTCAAAATAATGCAAGGGTAATTTTGTCCTAAAGGGGGTTAAGTGAGCAAAATTAAAGGTTAGGGAGTAAACTGAGAAATGGGGTATTCTTTAAGGGGATAAAATGTAATTAACCCTTACATCATTAAGGGGATAAAATGTAATTAACCCTTACATCAATGATGTAAGGGTTAATTACATTTTATCCCCTTAAAGAATACCCCATTTCTCAGTTTACTCCCTAACCTTTAATTTTGCTCACTTAACCCCCTTTAGGACAAAATTACCCTTGCATTATTTTGACTTTTCATTTACCTTGTTTTCCTTTCTTTTATTTCTTTTTCTCTTTCTTCTTTATTTAATTCTTCCTCTTTCCCACAAAAATCTTCACCTTAATGATTGAAATTAAAAAAGAGGAATTGCAGATATCTATCTTCTCTTTAAATGATTAAAAAAATATTCAAATCACTTTCCTAAAATACAATTTTTTAGCCTTTCAATTCTTTTAATTTTGGGTTTTTCTCTTTCCTTTCTAGTTTCTCATTTTATTCTCAAGAAAATATCATAAGATGAAATTGTTTTCCTTTCTTTTATTTCTTTTCTCTTTCTTCTCTACTTTATTCCTTCCCAATAGGAATTTCATTTCAACGAAAATTTTTGTTTTGAGTTTGTAATTGCATATTTCTGGGTGAAGGTTTAAAAAGCGTCAAAAACTAAATTTTATTTTTTGTATGATGCCATGTGTCACAAATTTCAATTGATGGTTATTAATCAGGTCACAATTTCATTTTAAGATATTTTCTTGGCAATAAAATGAGAAACTAGAAAGGAAAGAGGAAAACCCAAAATTAAAAGAATTGAAATGCTAAAAAATTTGTATTTTAGGAAAGTGATTTGAATATTTTTTTAATTATTTAAGGAGAAGATAGATCTTTGCAATTCCTCTTTTTTTAATTTCAATCATTAAGGTGAAGATTTTTGTGGGAAAGAGGAAGAATTAAATAAAGAAGAAAGAGAAAAAGAAATAAAAAAAAAGGAAAACAAGGTAAATGAAAAGTCAAAATAATGCAAGGGCAATTTTGTCCTAAAGGGGGTTAAATGAGCAAAATTAAAGGTTAGGGGGTAAACTGAGAAATAAGGTATTCATTAAGGGGATAAAATGTGATTAACCCTTAATGAAACAAAACGAAACAAAACAAAACCAAAGTACAGAAACGAAATGGAAAGGGTTAATCACATTTAATCCCCTTAAGATATACCCTATTTCTCAATTTACCCCCCAACCTTTAATTTTGCTCAATTAACCCCCTATAGGACAAAATTGCCCTTGCATTATTTTGACTTTTTATTTACTTTGTTTTCCTTTCTTTTATTTCTTTTTCTCTTTTTTCTTTATTTAATTCTTCCTCTTTCACACAAAAATCTTCAATTTAATGATTGAAATTAAAAAAGAGGAATTGCAGAGATCTATCTTCTTCTTAAATGATTTAAAAAAATATTCAACTCACTTTCCTAAAATATAATTTTTTTAACCTTTAAATTCTTTTAATTTACTCCAAACCTGTCGAGATTTGCAAGAAAGAGGAGGGTTTTATCTGCATTGTGCCCATTGGTATATGACAGTCATATTTGCCTTGCATCAGTTGTGGAATTGCAGTCCTTTAGTACGAGTAACCTACCTGCTAATGTGAGGGTTGGTCATTTTTCTTTGATGTTTGGTTTGTATGATCAATTGAAGTTTTATATACAAAATAAGGGCAAATGACCCAAATAGTGTACCAATTTTTTTTAATTGAGCCACTTTTGATAATTCATCTTTAATTTGGGACTATATTGTCTTTTAACTTTTATTAATAGACCTATTTGGCCCATCCAATTTAATTTGAGGAAATGTTGTCTCTTAACTACTCCTCATTATTATTGGTCCAGTTTGGTCATCTAATTTTCCCTACTTGATTTGTATGTTTTGCAAATTTATGGGCTTTTATTTTGTTTTTTCTAATCAATTTTAACACTTGGCACAGTCATAAAAAATATAACTTGACCACTTTGCCCCTCTTAAATTGCTACTGTTTGTATTGAAGTTGAATTCAACAAAAAAAAGGGTTAGAGGGCTGTTTGGGAGCCCTTTTTAAAAAAAAAAGAAAAACATCATCACCGAATTACCTTTAATCCGTTGAAAAATTAGTCTAGTAAGAAAATTAATAAGCCCTGATTTCATCCGCTCTAAAACCAATCTAAAATATGCTGCGGAATGAAGGCGCAAATGGTTGTCCAAATTAGTATACTGTAGTTTGTGAGTTGTCAAGATCTTGTGTTTTTTTTTTTTCATTTGTCACTTATTTTGTATTTCTCCTATTCTTACTTCAGCCTAATCAAAGGAGATGTCTAATTGAGCATACGGGAAATTAACGGGGATTGAAACACTATCGAACCAAATGAATACACCACACACTTGTATGAATTTAAAGAAACCACATATTGTGGTAGATAATAGTAGGCAAGGTTTGAAAGTTGACCTCCCACCCCACCAAGACTTGAAGCCCAAATCTTGTACCTGTTCATGCAATATATAGAGAACGTAAAACACAATATTTATCCTCCAACATTTTATTTAATTTGGGATTTCATAACCCATTATTATACATATCTGGCAAACAACCAGGACTACATTTCAACTCTCAGTAGACAACGAGAGGAACTCAGTTGATGGCTTAGAATATTATCATGGACTTTTGATCATAAGCCAGAACATCAGAGTTTAACATAAGGCCTGATTATTTCATCATAATGACCGCAATAGGTTGTGCCCTCAAGCACCATAAGCCCTCCATATTTGGAATACTGCTCCACATAGGGGATAACCACATTCCTGAGGTCGCGACATTTGATGTAGCCTTCGACGCCAGAAATTCCAGTTAATCCCAGGAACAATGCAGTATTATCGGGTACATAACTATGCCATTCTTCCCAACTTATGGAGAGGTTAGTGATGTTGCCTGAACTGTAATCGCATGAAGGTTCCTCGAAAAATTGCACCCACACGTAGTCAAAGAGGCCTTTTTTGATAGCAATGTCAAGATAATAGTCAGGAATGCGACATCGTGGTGCTGCAGATAAGTACACCTTTTTGTCAGCTGTGCTATACTTCGAGAGTGTCTCGGCGAGGGCATCCAAATACCTGTTTGATCCGCTTTGAATATGAAAGTCTATTCCATCTACAACGGCATCACCGAAAGGACGGGAGTCTGACTGACCACCCAAAAAATTGTTCCAGATATGTTCTGCAACATATTGAACATCACGGGAACAAAAGTCAGGCCTCCCATCAAGGGAAACAAACACCTTGATGCCTTTGCTCTGGCAGGATTCTATCTGAGCACCTAGGAAGGCGCAGCTGCCGTTGATGCTTGGGTCGCAATGGTGATCCAACTCCAAGACTGCTTGGTAACCGACAAATTTAAGGGAGGCGATAACCACGATTTCGTAGGTACTGTTGGTGCATATCTCACTCAGGTTTGCTTCACGAGAGCTTCGGCCCCAGTAGATCCCAGCTACGGAGCCTTCTGAGGACCTGATCAAGCATGAAATCATCAGCAGGGATATTATTGCTAAGAACAGAGGTCGCAAATTAGCAGCCATTGATAGTTTTTTAGCTGTTTTAGCGGTTTTGGAGTGGTGGTTTTGGCTCACTTGAGCTGTTTTAAATATACATACATACATATATACATATATATATATATATATTCATGTGTGTATATATATATATATGTATATATTTGTGTGTGTATGTATATAATATAGATATATACATACATATATATATATGTGTGTATACGTACATATATACATACATATATAATATAGGTGCACGTGAACTTCGTAGACATTGGTGCAGCTGTCTGCGCACCACTGGATTGCATTGCATCCAATTCAAAATCTAACCGTTGATCATTCTTTAGGAGTGTGAGGTGCTGGGGTTGAAATCGACGGGGCCAAGTATATAAATTTTATTTTTTTAAAAAATTTGTCATTTAACGTGACTTCTTTTAGATTTATATGATTGTCTCTTGTATCCGTATGATTTGATAATAATTTAATTTAAATTAATTCTCTGTGACTCTGTTGGGTCATCCCTCAGAGTATAAATTAGAATAATTGTAAAAGTAGAGGTAGATTGTGACAATAAATCCCAAAAAAAAAATGGAAACTTCCCCTGTTTGAGTGCTGACGAAAGTAAAGGGAGACAAGATAATAAATCCGTGGTAAAAAGCCAACCGCACGAAAACAGGACAGTTTGTCAACTTGCAAACTAATTGAACACCACCAATTTCCCACGTGCAGCCAGCGGACGACCCCTAACAAAACAAAAGACCCCCAATTTCCTCGAAATTACGCTATAATCGATCCCCTGTTTGGAGCAACGGCCAATCTGATATCAAACTGATCACAAATGTACAAAATTGATAGCAATTTTAGAACAATACCAAAAACGGTTTCCATTGATAATGTTTAAAATGAGTTTCCCCAAATAACTCTCTACATCCACAACAAATATAATGATGTTGATCATGTGTAGGCCTCATATACATATAATTGGAAGTTAGAAACCAGTTTGAAATGTGAGTTTTTTGAGTGTTTGTATAAAACTTTACAGTATATCACTTGAAAAAACTTTTTTTTCTTTGTTTTTTCTTTTCTTTCTTTTTTTTGCCTTTTTCTTTTTTCTTTTTTTTCTTTCTTTCTTTTTTCTTTTCCTTCCTCCCTTCCCGCTTCTTCTCCCTTCCCCTTCCCCCTCCCCTGTTCCCTCTCCCGAAACTGCTAATGAAGTAGCAACAGCAGCAACTTTTTTCTTTTTTTTTGTTTTGCTTTTTTTCTCTCCCCCCTCCCCCGCCACCCCTTTCTTCCCCGCTCCCCATCCTCTCTCTTGCTGGCAGATGAAGCAGCAATAGGTTTATTTGCAATTTTCCATCTCCCCCCTCTCCTCCCCTTCCCCCGCCACTCTCACCCTCCCCCGGTGCAGTGCAAAGCCAACTGAAGAAAGGCGGCAGCCTGAACCGTTTTCCCGGACTAGTACTATCCAGTCTGGCATTTGAGTTTCTCTTTGGGAGCAGAAAAAGGCGCCAGGAAAGATGTCTTTCTTGTTAGATCAGTGAAAGACATTAATGCTAAAACTATTCCCCATCTTGCAAAGAGAAATCTTACACTTGGATTGTCATTTCTTTGATTTCCTGGACGGAGGTTTTTATTGTGCAACCGAACTCTGTAACAGGGGAGGATGGCAGGGGAGGAAGAGGGAGATAGGGAGAAATGGAAAAAAAAAAAAAAAAAAAAAGAAGACCGGCATGGGAAGAGGTGATTGGCGCCGAAACCGGCGACGGAGGTGGTGGTCGGCGACGGAGGTGGTGGTGGGGGAGGAAAAAAAAGAAAAAGGGAAGGGAATTTTTTTTTGTGTGTTTTGGATATTTTGAATTGTGTAGGTAAAAAACTTTGTGAAGATTTTTGGGATTTCTGTAGCAAAAATTGTTAAAAAACTAGTATTATACAAACTTGGTAAAAAATCAAGGTTCCAAACAGGCCCTAGGTTTCAGTAAAATAGAGGCCCTATTGGCATTTGAGTTTCTTGTCAAGTTTATCTGCTACAAATTTTTTAAAAACTTTAGTTACAATAATCTCAAAAAAATTTTCAAAGTTTTTAAACTATACATTTCAAAATATTCAAAAATTTACATACTTCAACAAAAAATTTTTAAATTTCTACAGTAAGTTACAGTAAAGTTTAAGACAAACACTCAAAAAACTCACTTGTCAAACGGGGCCCGGGGTTGGGATCCCTGCCCCATGCAGGTGGGGTAAACTAAAAAGAGAAAGTTATTTTAAAAAGATTTTTTTTTAGCAGCGGATGGGTAAGGTTTAAAACACCCATAATTGATCTTTTTATTTGTGGCGTAAGAAAGGATAAATCCCTTGGGTACCAAATTCAAGTTTTGTGTCTCCAAATTCTGAAATTGTTTGTATCTTTCTTGGTACCAGTTTGTCCAACAGTCCAGTTCAAGTGATAAATAATTTTGATAACAATTAGGTTAGTTTGCCGAGTACAATTTATGTACTAATCCTCTTTGTTCTTTTTTTAAATTATTTTTAAAAGTTGTCCATGATTCCGTTACGTATATGGACAATTTGGCAATTTAAAGTAAATGATTTATAGACGTTAGATAATTCGAGACTGAATTTGTTGTCCTAACATCCTTCTAGAAGGGAAAGAAAGAAAGAAAGAAGAGAGTTATGTCAAAGCTTTTTTCTTGAGCTGTGCGTGTGAGTGCATTTTAATGAATGGAGATATCCCGCCAGCAGTATTCTCTTCCTATCAGAATTCAAAGGGAGATGAACCACTGCCGCATTTGACGAATCCAAACAGCCAACTAGAAATGGAATTTCCTGTATTACGTGGCACAATTAATTGACAATTAAGTGGCATAATTTTCGATCAGAATACAATTTTTATTTGAATAATCAATTTAAGAGAATTTACTAATCAATTGCTTATTTCGGTATGCTTACTTAGTGCTCGAATCTTTGCTATCAATTGACCTAGGATGGTACACTACAAGAAAACGGGCTTTTTGCAACGCTTTTGCTGTGGCACAAGGATAAAGTGCGGTAAATAAGCAGCAAATTTCAATTTGTGCTGCAAATTTCACAACGGTTCCTAATTTTTACATAAAAATGACATAGTTTTAATAAAACCCATAAAAGATAGTTTCCTAGCACAACGGTACCAAACAACGGTGTCGTAATCCCAACTCCGTACGTCGTATATTTATCCACGTGAGGAGGACATAGTAATCACTTTCTGTGATTGGCTTAAGATTGCCTTGACTTGCTAAAGACAGAAAACATTTTCACTCGGATACTTTACTTTATTTGTAATCCACACTTTTGAAATACTTGTCTCTATTTGCTTTTTGGAGGAAAGATAAATATTCTTTACAATAGTATAAATTGATTGTCTGGTTCTTTTTCTGAGTCCAGTGAACCACCTGAGAAAAGCACCTATTGAATAGACAAATCCTTTCTCACTCTTCAGTACCCCACCTCACAATATTCAGATCTTAACTCTCCAACGACCGAATTCTTCCGCTCATCCAAAACCACTGCAGTACGCAACTCGGATAAGAGTTTGTCAATTTTTTCACCATCTCTGCTTCAAATATAGCAGAAATCAAAAGCTCTTACGCCATCACTATTACAGAGAAAAAGGTAAAAATTCTTCCATATGATTTTCGATTTCTATGTTTTTTTCCCTCGTATGTCTTTGTGACCTGCACTCTTCTCTGTTGCATATATATTAATAACCCTAGGATCTTAACTGAATTTCGGTTAATAAGATTTGGCACAAAGCCCTAATTTGATTGGGCAAAGTAATTGGTCTTCCGTTGATTCTGAATTTTGTCAACCACAGTTGTTGAAATTCCTACAGCTGAAAGCTCGAACAAATTGACCCAACCATTTGAGTCATTGACTTCAAAAATTAGGTCTCGCGGCAACTAGAAGAGTCTGCCCCACTACAGCCCCTGTTCGTTGATATTGGTGTGTTCATGTAAGTGTTTCTTGTAATTTAATGAAATGCGGATTATGAATCTGCATCCTTCATTATGAATTTTGCTTTAATGGATCACCATTTTCACATCAGCAATTATTAATGGATCATCATAATGAAAGCATTACGCATGGCATTCTCCATTCTGATTTCTGAGTGTTTTATATAAGCGGCATTCTTGAGACTACAAAAGCACTGGAAATGGACATCAATCTTGAAATACACTCCTTCTTTGTGTAGCTCTTTTCTGGATATTATTTTCCTATTCACTAGAGACTGGAGAGGCACTTTAAGGTGTCCTGAATCTCTTATCGGTAGAATTTGATCATGCAACATGAGGAGAGTATGTAATATGTAGTGCTTTGTTAAATTTCCATCTTTTCTACAACAATTTAGCAAGATATACACATAATATATATACACACACGTTTGTATATAGCTGAATTTTACTTCTCTCCGAGTAGATTTTGATTGGAAAATCCCTTTTACTTACTTATTCTCTCTCCACTTCCCTCCTTACAAATTATGATTGCAGCATTCTCAAATTATGATTGTGGTGATCCATTAATAATTGCTGATGTGTAAGACAATCTAGCTCCCCTGATTTATCTATGTTTCTTTTTCTTGCAAACAGAACACTGGTTTGCATATTGACATAAATTCACCACATTCTTTTGGCATTGAGAAGTTGGGTTAACTGTTAACATCGCATTCCACTATGAGCATAGCAAACTGGGATGCACATGCTGCACTTTATTTTTTATTTTTTTTGCATGTTAATAAATTTGCTATTTTTCAATTCTGTTTATAAGGTCTCTTTTCTTGCCTTCTCAATCTTGTTTCTTGTAGAATGGATGATAGGTCTTGGATCTTTATTGAAGACCGAGTCAATAATCCGTACTTTGAAATAAATAGGTATTTTGACTCACTATCAAAGTTAGCAACATTTTTTTTTCTTTTTATTTCATACAATCTTGTAGCTTGTGAATGTTTAAACTTTTGTTTTGTAATTTTTGATAGAGAAATACAAATATTGATGATACATGCAAGAAAGTACAAATGATAAGGGTCAGCAAATTGTGGAGAAATTGGAAATCAAAAGTCAAGAGCATGTATTTCATTCCTTATAGGAGGCACAGGTCATGGCTATTAGCACACTGTCCTGCAAGAGTTGAGGAGGATCAATGGCCTATTTTGGTTGATTATTGGAGCTCAGAAGATGTCAAGGCATGTATTTATTGTCACATCTCTTTTGCTTTTGAATTAAATTCTAGTGCTATTATGATTTTGATGTGTTGTTAACTACCTTCTGTTTTGTACATAATTAGAAGCAAAGCAAGATTAATAGCAAGAATCGAAAAAAACAAAAGATGCCACATCGAACAGGGCGAAAAGATCATGTGAACCTCAGGGAAGAGGTATATTAAATTCTAATGCTTATGTTTCTAGCAATTTTTTCTGGAACATAGTCTTATTTAGAAATATTAACACTTTAGTTTGTACATTGAATATGTGGCAGCTTCGGATTAAAACTGGAAAAGAGCCTTCGAAACTAGACGTTTTTATTCATTCAAGACAAGGAAAACAAATGGATGAGTTGACTTCACAAACAATTGTAAGAATAGCTTTTAGTCACTTTTTATTGGTTTTACTTCATAAATAATTCTTTCTTCTGTCTGTTTTTCAATTTAGGCAACTATGAATGAGGAAATACAAAAACTGCCAGAGACATCCAGGGATGATAATTTTGTGAAAGATATACTCTATGAAAATATTCTTGGACCTGAAAAACCAGGTCGTCTTCGAACTTATGGGGTAGGTGCGACTCCAAAAGACGTGTATAGGATGTCAGATAACATGAATGATGGACAAAAGAAAGCATTTGAGGATGCAGTGAATGAGAAAGTGGAAATCATACGTGGTGAACTACGAGAAGAAATGAATTCGAAATTGGCAGATTTTAAGGAGGAGTTGATTGCTCAATTTGAAGCAAGAATGGTTTGGGATAACTATTTTGTTAAATATTATAGTTTTTCTAATTTTTTTATTGCTTTAGTTACTATTGGTCTTTGTTCTTCCAGAGGGCATCCACATGTGACTTGGCATCACTCCAAAGAAGAGAAATGAATGCAGCAAAACAATCTCAAATTTCGGACTCATTAGAGGTTGTATATTAATTCATACAATTCGATTTTGTGTTCAAACTCTCTGAAATATCAGCAGCTATGGCCTGATTTTCTTTTCTTCACACTTTGTTGATAATGTAACAGGTTGGTGATAGAATGAACAGGGAAGTTGGAACAAATGATGCTGAAATGTACAAGGAAGTTGGAACAAATGATGCTGAAATAAACAAGTGTGAAATGAATAAAAAAGTTTCTTCAATTGCTGATATTCTTGAGGTATAGTATGCGTACTTTGAGTTGGTCCTTCTATAGAAGACCAATTTTGCTGAGTTCCTTGTTGATATTGAATTGTGCATGACTTCCTTGTTGATGACTATTTGTGCATGAGCTCCTTGTTGATATTTAATTGACTAGTCTTTTGTTATATCAGAACCATCATACAAAGAAGAAAAGGAGCAGGACTACTTGCAAACGACTTGCTTGAGGTACTGGAAAAGTTTCTGGAAATAACTCTATTCTGTCAAGTTTTCCAAATGTTGAACAATTTGATGGATTGGTATGAACTACGAAGAATCCCCCATGTTTCCTTAGGGAACTTTTTAGCGTACGAGTGGCCTAAGACTTTCTGGTACACTAGCATACTCAGGCAGCCAGCTAGCGTAGCTACCAAGCTAGGCAGTGTCTTGGTAATTCAAGATATCAATGTCCAAGAGTGGGGAAAATGGGATAATGACTGTCTAAACTTTGTACCAAGAGTTCTGTCCACTCAGGCATTTAAATGGAAATGAATATGCCTGTTAACTTGATTAAGTGGAATTACATTTGGACATTTCTACTGAGGAACTAGATTTTGGTTCCTTCTTCGTTTGTCTTTTATGGCCCCTTGTGATCACTTGGGGTCACAGCCTTGAATGCAGAAAGACTACTGGTCCATTTGGAATAAGTGTTTTTGAAATATATTTTAAGGAGGGAGGAAAGAGGGAAGGGAGAGGAAAGGAGAGAATGAAGCAGGAGGAGGGGGAGGGGGTGGCAGCGTTGAGGAGAAAGGAAGATCGGGGATGACGGTGGCGGGTGTAAGAAGAAAGAGATAATAGTTTTTTTTTAGTGCATTTGGAATTGTGTAAATTTGAAATGTGTTATTGTACACTCCAAAAACAAAAATAACTATCTGGAAAACTCCATAATCCAAGCAGAGCCATATAATCAAAGACAAATACATTGCAAAAGTAAAATTGCTGACCTTTATAATCCACCATAAAAGCTGAGTTAAAAGGGTGCAATAGATTCTTGAGTTAGTCTCGAGTGGAAAGTGATCATTGTTAGGAATATGTCATTTTCACGAGAAAAACTTTTGCTCCTGTTCGTGTCTTTCCAACTAAGAAAATGATCAGTGCTGTTAACTAAAAACCTGCTTTTTATGTTGCATCTACGAAAAGAACAGAGTCATTATGGACTTTGAGTTTGAGTTACACACAGTTAATCAGAGACAACATGGTTATTGGTTTGGCAAGTCAAGGTGTCTCGGAAATCCTGGCTTGGCTAGTACTGATCAAGAACAGATTTGATTGCTGAATTTCTTGGATCTCCACCAAGATTTTGTGAAAGCAACTCTCACTCTTGTGCATGTGTTCGTGAGCCTACTTTTTTGGCTTAATTAACATATTAAACTTGGCAAGTCGCACATATGAATGATGCCATGGATTGCTGCCTTTATTCCATTCACAGTTCTTGAAAGCAACTCTCATGGTTCTGCATCTGTGCTTGTGACCATACACTTTTTTGGGTCTTCCACATACTTAAATTAGTTGTACTTCTTTAATTCAGCATGTACTTTATAATAGTAACTGTTTGCCCCTTTTCAGTGTCTGTGAAAAGGTTGAATTACAAATTCCATTTCAGTATCTATTGTTATATTAACATTTTCTTCATGCTTAATGGGTTGGGGTTATATGAGCAGGGGACTAATAGAATACACTTTGCAGCCCTGGACTTGATGGTACATTGGAAGCATGCGGATTGGGAGATATGAAGATGTTTTTGAGAGATGTATGATGAAGTGTTGTACTTTTGAAGACAAGCACATTTTGGAATATATGAAATATCTTGTAATTGGAGCGAACAATATTAAATGATAAAGTTTGTAGAATTTGACTAAAACAATGTATGGTACTTTATTCTAGTGTATTGTGGAACTATATTTTGTTATAATATTCGATTTTAGGATATTTGAGCATGATAATTATTGTACTATGAAAAATTTGATTTCTGGTCTTTATATTGGTGACTTTTTTGCGACGCAAGTTTTTGTCGCATGACATTGTGGATATTTTGTAGCGCATTTTTTGTGCCGCAAGTAGAGTGATGCAAATGCATGCGACATGTTGAAAAATTGTGTCGTTTTCTTTTGTAACGGCTACTTTTGTGACACAATTTAATTCCGTCGCATTTGTGCCGCAAAAAGGTTTTCGCGGCGGTTTTTGGACTTTTTGCAGCATATTTCTGGTGTCGTGAAAAGTCAGTTTTCTTGTAGTGGTATTTAGTTCGGGTCACGGGTTAGCGGGTTGGATTGAGACCCAAATAATTTGAACAATACTTTCTAAAGACAATTCAAAAAATTAAATGGATCAACTTTTTTGAATCAAACACAACTCGCTAATTTTACAAATTACCCGTACTCGACATGAATAACCCGTTTGCTTAACTTTTCTTCTTTTCTTTTCTTTTTTTTTTTGTCTTCTCACCTAGAAAGTATGGTGGATTTTTTTATAATGAAGTTTTCATAAGAATATAAAGAATTGCAGTCCAATCCTAGATTTTCTGTATGGTGCCTATAGTAATTTTTTGGTTTTCCTTTATATCCAAAAAAAATATGAATAAAAATAAAACTATGACACTTTCACAAATTATTCATGATTCCGTTCTCGTAATACTAATTTATATTCCTGATTAATCAAAGCCCACTCTCATAATAGATTGACTATTACTAGCATTAGATTCCTCTACTCTCGTAGTGAAGATCTGAAACTAATTCATTTATTACATGAAATGTTCAAGAAAAATCCACTTATGTGCACTTCTACTCTTATAAACTTACTCCTTACGTTCCATTTATTTCCTTTCCATTATTGTTACCAATTTTCATTGATTAACAATAAGTAAATGACTTGCAATTGGTGATCAATCAATTATAAGAGTTAAAGCATGAATAAATAGACAAATTAGTACAAGATGCAACAAAAGTAGATTCAACACATAGTTAAGAAATCATTAGTTCATCTACTCTCTAGATCTAGAATTTAGGTCAATATAGGAAATAAGGTAGATAAGCCTAGAGATTCATTGAAACAACTCATATTGATCAAAATAAACAAAAAGTTGAGAAAAGTTTAGCCAAAAGGTGAACAAACTCCCAACAAATCTTCTATTAATCCTCCCAAATGAGATTGTTACAATGAATGTTTCTCCAAGTTCTTCTACAAGTTTCTCCCCTTTAAGGAGAGAAAAATATGTTCTCCTAATGCAAAAAACTAGAACTCTCTTATCTTCCAAGAAACATGTATGTATAGGTGAAACAAAGTCAGGAATTAAGGTTAGAATCTTTTCTTTACAGCTGCAAATCTTCTGCAAATCGTCCATCAAACGTAGCGAAATAATGAAGTTGAAATCAAGTTAAGCAAGTTTTGGCCGGATTCTAGGATGGATTCATATCCTGTTTCTTCTACAATGTGTTGCTCCAAAGTTGAAGCTTCTGCTTTGAATCCAGCGGATAATCCGATCATAGATTCTTGCAGGAATTCAGCCTCTATTTGTTGTTCGTCAAGCTTCTCTATTGTTCGCTCAATTCACGCTCGGTTCGAACCTTCTTTAAATTTGCAGACTTTATGAATTGTTTGGACTTCTATTAACATGTCTTGAGTTTGTTTCTTGTCCAAGTTCAAATCATTTTCAACTCCTACACAAAATAATTAAAGTACACGAGTAAATGGGACAAAAATCACAACAAAATCCTATTTAACAATTAACTCCAATCCTAGCCAAAATGACCTAGTTTCATTAATTAACATCTTTGGAAGTGACTAAAAGTGATAAAATATATCATCAAAGGATCGTGCAAATATTCACATATCAGCACCCGATGTTACGAGAACTAAAGCAGCAGCTTTTTCAGATATTATTGTGTAGTAGTTCGATTCCTCTGAAAAATTCAGAGCAGCTTCCACCACATGCAGATGTCCATCTCTCGAAAATGGCGTATTATTGTGCACTAGTTGGATTCCTCTGAAAGTTCTGAGCAGCTTCCACCTCATGCATATGTCCATCTCTTGAAAATGGTGTATTATTATGCACCTGTTGGCTTCCTCTGAAGGTTCAGAGCAGCTTCCTCAAGAACTTCAAGTGATAGCTTCACCATTCAATAGACGAATTAGACGTATTTCAAAATTTGCTTAAAATCTTGAGTAGTTGGTAGAGCGGTCTGTATGTTTTTCTTCCTTCTTCTTGTGGCATTTTTTTATTAAAAATTTTATTATTAATTAAAGATATGGAATATATATAGGATTAATTTTGAGTAGTTGGTAGAGCGGTCTGTATTTTTTTCTTCCTTCTTCTAGTGGCGTTTTTTTTATTAAAAATTTTATTATTAATTAAAGATATGGAATATATATAGGATTAATTTTGAGTTTTTTACCATAATTTTTCTTATATTGTAATTCTTTAACTTAAACCACTCTTATTTTTAGTTTTCAAAGTTTTTTTTTTGTAAATACAATATGATTTAACTCAAATTACTAACAATCTAAAATGAAAATAATCCAAAAAAAAATGTAGACACACTTTTCCTTCAATATTCATGGGATATAGAACAAAATGCAATTTAAAATTAATTTAATCTAATTATTAGAAAATATGGACATATGTTGAAGTCATGATTTATATAATAATTAGAAAAGTGGAAAAGATAGTGAAGTTTATAATAATATCAACTGCACAATTCTACAATATGAACATATGTTGAAGTCATGATTTGTTGGGCCCATTATTCAGTGATTACTCCTTTTATTCTCTCTCTAATTAATTGAATAGCTTGCTTACTTCTTTTATCTCTTTAATTTATTTATCTATTATTTTCATAACTCATTGATTTGGTTTTGAGTTTTTTTACCATATTTTTTCTTATATTGTAATTCTTTAACTTAAACCACTCTTATTTTTAATTTTTGAAGTTTTTTATGAATTTTGTTTTTTTGCAAATACAATATGATTTAACTCAAATTACTAACAATTTAAAATGAAAATAATCCAAAAAAAAATGTAAACACACTTTGCCTTCAATATTCATGGGATAAATGCAATTTAAAATAATTTTAATCTAATTATTAGACAATATGGACATTTGTTGAAGTCATGATTTATATAATAATTAAAAAAGTGGGAAAGATAGTGAAGTTTATAAGAAGATCAACTGCATATTTCTACAATAAACAAGCAAAATTCAAAGAAATAAAACATGTTGATTATATCACAGGATCAAGTTTGAATGACATTATAATAGCAATTACACAGTTTTTCCATGGTCTTTAATAAACAAAAATAAGAATTGAAAAAACATAGTAGATCCTCAAGATTCTAATTTATAATATGGAAAACATGACTCTGTATGGAGGATTAGATGTGGCCTAATGACCCCCCCTCTCGCTAATGAAGACGAGCTTGTCTGCTAAAGCAGCTATTGCATTGTAAAGCTTTAAAGTTCAACTAAAATTGATGAAGCCTTCCAAGAGTAGGTAAAGTACTTATAATAAGAAACACCTAGAACATAGAGGAGTCATAAGCAAATTGATGAAAATTAATAATAATGTACTAATAGTGATAGAAAACATAATGGAATAAAAGCAAAGATATTGTAAGTAGAGATTATTTAATAGAAAATGTAATGGAATAAAAGCAAAAAAGAAAAAAACCAAGAAAAACTTACTAATAGTGATGGAAAAATAGCAAGAACGAAGTAGAGAAGAATATTATGCAAAAGATCTTGAACCACATACAACAAAAGTCTCAACAAAATGAAAAGAAATTATAAAATAGGAAAGATGGAGAGAGGTTGGAAAGCAAGAATTGGAAAGACAAAACCTTGTTGTGTCAATGGGAAAGAGAAAAAAAAAAAAGGAGTAATTGGTAGAGAATGGGTACAACACAATGAATAAGAATGTATGGGATTGGCTCGTTGAGACTAATATTAGTATTTGGATAAATATTATTCTGACAAAAAAATTATGACTCTAGCAGTTTCACTAGCTGCAGGAAAAACTATCTATATGGGTATTAACATGGCATACTTTGTTCAAATTTTAGCAAGGGTTTTTCTAGTGGGTGTTCATTGGATATGCATTAATACATTTAAAATTTATTTAACTTACCATGTATATACACATACGAACCATTATTACCTTCCTTACTATTTATATACTTTTTCTATTTAATCTTACCTACTCTCCCTTATATTTTTGTACTTTCTCTAATTAATCTTATATTTCTAAATGTATTACACTTGAAATATATCTTAACGAGTAGCTAATGGTCACTTGTTAGGTAGACCCTTGTAGTAACAGCAATAAATAATTAAACCAATATTCAGAATAAAGAACATGGTTGAAAATGATTAGAAAAGGAAGGATATAAGTTGATTGACAAAAAAATGAAGAAGTTACAATTAATACAAATTTATATAAGGTAGGTCATTAATAGATTTATTGAAATCGACTATAAATAAGAAACCATGCTATAAATAAACAAGTGAAAAAGGAAGAGAATTAACTGCTACAAAAATAGAAAAGAATAAAAAATAAAAAACATAAACATTAAAGATGTCCATGTGGCGAAAATATAGATAGCCCACTTGGCATTAGATTAGAGTATCCAATTCAACAACCTACCAAAATCGGAACTAAACATTATTTTATTATAAACTAGCATTATGTCTCACGCTATGCACGGGAACGACAAATTGTTAAAAAATTTTAAATTTTAGCATACAGTATTTAACAATTTTATTATTACAGAAAACTGTTTAAAATTGTTATAATTACATGCAATTCAATGATTATTTTCTGTTTGTTAAATTTGATCACAATTTAAAGTTGATTGTATTTTTGTAGAACTTTTTGTAATATAAAGATAAGGGCTGTAGCATGATTAGCATAATATATAGAGAAGAAATTGATGGACTTTTATTTTCTTTTT